CGCGGCTCGTGCTGAGGAGGATGACAAGGTTCGCAAAACGTTCACAAAACCCAAGTTTGCCTTCCCGATCCGCGCTGATTATCAAAGGCAGCGGCGCGACGGGCAGCCCCAACCGTTGTCGCGGCGCAGCACACCATGTCGGCGCGGTCGGCGCGCGGGGGCGGCACGGGCCGGAGCGGCGGGTACACGAAGGACGAGCTCTTCGGCGGGTCGCCCGGCCGCGGGCCGGCGTCCGGCCGCGACGAGGGCAAGGCCGGCGAGGGCAAGGACGAGGGCAAGGACGGCGGCGACGTCTTCGACGGCCCCCTGGAGCTCGAGCACGTCATCGGCTTCACGGGCGCGTCGCCCCGCACGTTCCTCGCCCTCCCCGGCGCGCGGGAGCGCTTCGTCAAGGCCATGGGCTCCATCGCGGTGCTCGGCGACCTCGACGACCCGCACGCGCAGAAACTCCTCCGCGCGCACGACGAGCCCATCAGCGCGCTGGCCACGTCCGTCGACGGGTCGCTGCTCGCGTCGGGCCAGGTCGGGTCGACGCACATCCCGGGCTTCGCCGCGCCCGTCGTCGTCTGGGACCGCGTGTCGGAGCGCGCGCTCTTCAAACTGCGGGGCATCACGCAGCGCGTGAACATTTTGGAGTTCAGCGACGACATGCGCTTCCTCGCGGCCTGCGGCGAGGACTGCGTGCTCTACGTCTGGGACGCGACGAGCGGCGAGGTCGTCTTCGGCAAGCGCTACGCGAAGCGGCTCAGCCTCTTCCAGTGGATCGGCGCGATGGACCGGGGCCGCCGCCGCGTCTACCGCCTCGCGACGGCGGTGACGGGCGTCGCCGAGGTCGAGCACGGCGAGCTCTGCTTCGACGCGACGCGCCAGCAGTGGCAGCTCGCGTCCGCGCCCGTCGTCATGCCCGCCGCGGGCATGGCGCGCGAGTACAAGTGCTCCGCGCTCGCGACGTACCCTAGCCCCGACGGCGGCGAGCCGGAGAAGTACCTCCTCGCGGGGACCATGGAGGGCGACCTGCTCGTCATGCGCCTCGCGGCGCCCGCGCGCGACGACCCGACGCTCGACACCGCGCGGTCCGGGGCAGGAAAAGAGCGCTCCCAACTTCAAAGGCTCCTATCTCGGCCGTTTTCCACTCGTTTCGGCTGATTCTTGGACGAGCGATCATCTCTCGGAACGGTTTCGACGGGCACTTTTTCCGGAACGCGCGCGCGCGGACCACTCACGTTGAAGCGAACTTGAATCACTCTCGTGCCGCCCAGGCGCGGTCCGGGGGCGTCTACCGCGCGTCCGTGCCCATCTGCACGGGCGGCCTCCTGGCCCTCGCGCTCAAGCCCGGCGGCGGCGCCGACGGCCGGCCGGCGGTCTCGCCGGGG